GGTTGGTGTATGTGGATCTGGCATGGATTCGAGGCAAGAGGAGGGAATTGGGCGGCTCGACTGAATGAAAATGTGGCGTAGATCCCTTGGCCTACGCAACTACCATATAAGAGAAAGGGGAAAGAGGTGATGGGCGGGAAGGAGGGAAGCAAGGGGGAAAGTAAAAGCAAGAAAAGCAAACGAAAAACCGCCATCAGTGGGGGATTTCCCCATCTATAAAGCTGGTGCTTAGGCGAATAAAGTGAAGCTGCGAAGGTAAACCTGAGAGCTCTCAGCTTTACCTTAATATCAGATTCATAAATACGGAAGCCCCTGCTGCAAACAAACTTTCAGTAAACGAAAAACCCATTATCAGCAAAAGACTTCCCCATTTATGAAGCTGATGCTTACGTAGAGCTGCAAGATCGAAAAGCTGATGCTCAGGTAAAGCGGAGAGTTCTCAGCTTTACTTAAGATTCATAAATAAGCTTGTTCCGCTCCTCTATCCTATCCCCAAACCCTGCTTGCGCAGCGGCATCTGGGCACCCATCACCTACCACCTTCTATCACTACTAATCATTCCGTACTCCTCACTAGCCCCCTTATTCCTCCCATCCATCTTGCAGTAATCCGTGCCCCCGGAGCTGCATCTGGGTATTCAGCCCCCGCCACCCCTTCCCCAACCACGCTAGCCCCCACCGGGCACCCCCTAAACACACATTTCAATTGCGGTTCACTGAGTAGCGCTATCCAGCACTCCTGCCAAAGTGACAAGCAGAATCGGCGAGTCTCGCCGTTTACGAGGAGGAGAGAGTAACGGCCGACCCGAGTTTTAGTAATTGCCAGTTGTCGAAGGCTTCGCCGTTCGGGGATTGCTTACAAGCAAGCTGATGGCTGGTTTGACCCCCCGCAAATGCCAGTACCAATCTATTATCAAAACAAATGAACGAATCACAGAAGGATTAGTTGTCCACCGGCAGAGTCGAATCTTCGGCCTACTGCACTATAACAGCGCTATCCCCTGCGCCATGCCTACCGCTAACTATATTTAATGGCATCTAATTACTATTGGTGGCCATTCGGGCCTAACAAAGACTGCAATCTATGGCGTGCCTGGTACCTGACCAGGAAGTGAAGCATCCCAATTTCGGCGTTCCTGTTCTAAAACACTGGTCGTTTGCTATTTTCATGCCACAGCCGCTAAACTGAAATTTCTTCCAGCAGACTGATACACTGACGACGAATTTATTGCACTTTAGGGACTCATTAATTCCTTTTCTGGCAAACACTGTAAAACCTAAGTTGATTTCAGTGATTTTTGCGCTAAATTTGCGTTTTTTTGGAATCTATTTTATCTAAATTTCACTTCTCTTCGCTGCCTTTCGCTTTAACTAATTCGTATTTTTTCCACAAAAGTGTCTCCACTACTCTGCTTCCATCAGCTCAAAAAACAATTATGCCAGCCTTCCCCTGTGAAGGTCACTGCTCACGTACAGGTAAAAGTCTGCACAACTGCGGAACCCGGAAGTGTGAATTAACTCTATTTCATTTCCCTTTTCACCCACCGTTCCACATCACTTTCTTCTGCCGATTATGCTGCACTCACCATGCCTTAAACATGCAGCAAAACTTCGCTTACCGGTGTGTCGGTGAATCTGCGCTGTCGCCCAGCTGAAGCGCTTTATCTCCTTGCACACCCGCTTCTGTGTCTCTGGGGACCTGAAAATACAATGCATCCATTTCGTTTACTGGTCCAATTTTGATCTTTCAAGAAACTGGTTGCACAGGCAGAGAGCTTTTAACACACTGACTTAATGAAACTCCCCCGAGATTGCAAGCGTTACAGCTCTCAGCCCATTTGCAGTCATAGGGCATCCGAAACGGACAAAACATGTGGTAATGGCTTCACAACCGAAAAAAGAAAAACTTAAGCTAGCTAGGACGGGACGCATCAAAATCACTAGCATGTTGCTGGCTTACTTCATGGTGCAAATGCATCAAACACTCATTTTACTTTGTCTAAATTTATGCTCAGCGTATTAACCTGTCATTTGTTATTCAGTATTTGAGGCTGAAAAAGTTTTATTTTTTTAAGCGCAAACAAAATGATCTGTGATGGATCCCTGAAGATCGCTAGTATCCAGACTTCTCCTCCAATTTCGCCACTTTCCCGGTCTCTCTTTCTAACATGCTGCAAGCAACCTAGACAGGCGGTAACAGGCTGGGAGCTGTGCTGGTGATATCGACCCTTTCCCACTTGAGCTAGAGTCTACTTCTGTATTTTGCCTCGTAAACGAATTTATTTTGAACGCATCCAACTGCACACAGTTGCACTCAGCTCTAAAAAATGTGTGGTTCTGAAAATTGCTTGAGCGTCCAAACAAGTGCTCAAGCAATTTTGCGTGATATGCAATAACACACCAGTATGTCTGTCACATATATGCTGCATAATTTGTTGTTATACAACACATTATTTAGAAGCAATTCCCCTTGTTTCTCCTCCCCACATGCCAGGAGTGAAGCGATTATTGATGACTTACCGTACAGCGATATGAAAGAAATATGGAAGCAGCTAACCTGTGATGGTATAGTCAGTGGTCCGCTTCTATCGTATGTATTCTCTTCGACACTGCTTGCATCTGATAACGAAGTATGATAAGCAAAAAAGCAGACACGGTCCACTAGGATGTGAAATGGTACAATAAAAAAGTGTAAAAAGCATGTGGGGTGCCAAACAACTGATAAGCTCACCGTGCTGAGGTGTGCGCGCCGTGTGCATTTTCTCGATTAATGACTCTATCTGGTCGTGTACGTCAGCCACCTCATTATGTATCGTGTCCTCTAAAAAATGCGCAGCTACATGCGACGATTGCCTCGGAGGGCCTTCCCAAGCCTGCTATCTTAGAGGGCCACCATGTTCTCTTCTCCACAGAATTCACCGAACCCATTTGGAGTTCAAATAATTGCGCTATTAACAGACCCGATCCTGCTATTAAAGTGCAAGGGAAAAAGTGTTTGCTCGAAGTGCCTCCCTAGCCAAACTTGTTAGGTTGCTCCCCACTCCAGGCGATGTATATTTTTATAGCACAGTCATCCTTAATGCAAGTAAGCATGAATAGCGATATGCACCCGGAGACCAGCGCATTTGCCGGCTTTTATAGTATTTGGAAGCATGCATGCAGAGAGACATCTATGGCCGCATTTTGTTATAAAAGCATGAAGAGTGAATGATGGTGGTTTTAGGAAAGCAGAAAACTGTTAACTAATTTCTTTTTGTCACATGGTCTTCTGCTTGATTTTCCATCTCACGGCAAGGCATAGACAATTATTTTTCCCAGGACTAGTCAAGGGAGAATGATGCAGCTTCCCGTCAACTAAATACAACACAGACAACGCCAGCAGAAAAATCCATGCTAAGCCGGTACGAAAAGAATAAAATACCGGACTGTCCTTAACAGCATGGATCTGATAATGCAAGGCAGCACGCAACCAAATAAGAACTTCTAACCGCACTGTCGGAGGGAAAATCATCCAAACAGGGAGGAGGACAATGGTAGGGGACAGGAAGACAAAATTTCATTAAGAAACGTTTTCGTTAAAAGAAAGAAATCGGCTAGACGGTGCCGCACTCGCAGTGGCTTTCGACATTTGGAAAACGCATGGAAAGGAATAAGTTAATTTTATGCACAGTGCAAAGCTGCCAAACTAATCTCAATTTCTAACTAACTCTGATAACTCGCCAGCCTATTTTGCAGCATGAGACTTCCTGCCCAATCCAATTCCAGAGCTCGCGACGTATTCGCACAGCTTAATTTTGCGATGAGTTAACTTAGGCTATGCGTTTACTCCCACGGTGATTCCTAAAATCTGTCTCCGACAGCAGAAGAATACCGCATACCCATCGAAACAGCTGTGTCAAAATTTTGGAGATTGATTTGCTCAGTAGTCTAACTTCGGAAGCTGCATTAGTGAAATTCAAAAGGATCGAAAACTGGAGATCTACTGCGATTATTAACATAAGCGATGCATAATGAGGGAGAAAGCATTTTAATCAGCGGAAGACTTTTTTCAGCAAACTGTCGGAGATAAGAACTCCTCTAGTCCACATTTCGGAGTAAGAACCTTCCCTTTTCTAGTTCGTGATTTTTTAGAGAAAAGAACAGGAGCCCAAGGATAGCAGTGGAGAAAGAAGCCCCAACAGTTTCTCCGATTTACTAAAAGCACACATGCACTCCTCTCCCAGATCAAAAAAGATTCTGCATGTGATTTTCACACTACACACATCGTGCCACTTCGATATCGCACAGTAAGCCTACATATCACTGAGAACAGAAGATAAATCAGTTGTATGATATCATTTCTAGACAATATGAATGAAAAATCACTAGGCGAAAGCATTGCTCCGTAAATGAAAATGCACCGGATGAAGCGACACGAACATTCATGTTTAAAACGAATACAAACACCAATACGTCAGAAGAATTCATAAACGTTAATAAAATACAGGGTACGCCAGAGACAGAAAACCAGCTTACCAGGACGCTGTACTTGACCACCTCTGTCGCCAAACTGCTCCCAGCTGGAGCTCCACGGTTCTCCTTTGACAGCAGCACCTGGGCCAGCGGGCTTATACGACTTGACATCTGGCCCTCTATCAAACTCATGCTTCACACCGACAGTGCCACTACTCACATCAGAAAGGCCAATCAAGTCTTCATCTTTGACCGCCGGTACTCCACGAATATCTGATCCTGATCCTTTAAATTTCTGCACCAGGTCATCAAATGTATCTTCAACTGAATGAACTGCACCTGCTGCACCACCTAAAACAAGGGATGAGCTGCTGAGAAATTCAAAAAAGTGTAGAAAAACGAGAGAGTGGGCGTCCGACTTCTACGTGGCAAAGAGATCAAAACCGTTAAGAAGTACGATAAAACAGAGACTACTCGCGCTGGAATGGGTGCCAATATATATACATGCACATGTATATATATATATATATATATATATATATATATATAATGTATGTATATATGTATATACATATATATGAGAAATGCTAAAACACAAAAGACAACAGATTGTGCTGGAAAGCATTTGGTGAATTGGGAACGGTTCACACGTCCGCACTGAGCCTTCCGTTTTGGGACCGAGACTTGTGTTTGGATGTCAAGAACGTGTCACAAGCCATATTAGAGTGAAAAACGTTCGCACATCATTATCTATTACCGCAAAATGAACTTCTTTATTCGTTTAAAAAGCCGCTACCATCTATTTACATATGTTTACGATAAATGCGGCTGCAGGGTCGCAAAAATGGAACATTCTGTTGCAACGAATGAAGGGACATCTGACACAGCTATGCTGCACCCTTCGCTGAATGCATCTGAACTGCGTTGTGAAACCGCTTAGAGAAGTCAAGTAGATTTCTGATGAAAACGACGCAGGCAACTATCAAAAATTTGGCTGCTAATCACTGGCACTGACTTTTAAAGCGCGGAGAACGAACGAATGAATAGCACGTAACTACACATTTTGCACTATCCTGCAATGAAGGCTTTGCAAGGACTAAAGCAATCAGCCTTGACCGATTACACAGAACATGACTTGCAAGAACTGAACTGCAAAATGAAGCAAATATGATAAATAGCGGTGCGCACCAGGGTAGCCGATGCGATCATGCGTTTTGTGTAGTCCCGTCCAGCAGATGCTTGCTTACAAAAAATATAACTACTTTACACTTTCGTATGTGGAAAAGTAGTCGATATGCTGTCTGGCTCCTAAGGTGAGGAATTCCCCACTGAAAATTTCACGTGCCCGTACATGAAAGCTGAATTTGAAAATATGGATGGGGAACATTTTTGCAAATTTCAACCTTCCAGTTTTCTGGCTTTCGAGCCAGTGACTTCCGGATCAAAATTCTCACATGGTCATACGTGAGAACTCGGCATACTCGGGAGCTAAATTTGAGTTTGTGAGGTGCCTCTACAGCGGTCGCTCGTCTGAGCGCAAATCCACTGCACCTCAAAACCTCGTTTATGAAGGATATCCAACACCAACCTGAGACTGCACCGGCTCCTTTTGCTTCGTGCACTGCATCGCCAAATGTATGTGCAACATGGTGAGCTGCATCCCCCATCGGATCAGCAGTTTTGTGCACACCTTCCGAGAAAGCGTGCGTGGCCGTATCACGCGCCGTTTTGACAGTGCTCGCGATGTCGCCATAGGCTCCGTGCGCCAGCGCTCCGACATGTCCCGCAGCATCGTCCACCAAATGTATCGTATCGCCAAGCGCTGAAGCGGCCGCTCCTCCAACTTCGCGCGCCGAATGGAGCGCTTCGCTCGCCAGGTCTGCACCTGCTTTATATGCAGCACCTGCTCCTTGTGTTACTTCCCCCGCACCTGCAACGCACGTTCATAATTAAGCTCAACCTAATTTGTATCATTCTCGTTCTCAGGGCTTGCTGCACACGTCTACCAGATAACAGTGCTGCAGCATCACGTTAAAAACGAATCCCACTCAAGAACTGTTCGAAAAAGCAATCACAACCAATCTGCAATCGAACGCAACAACGAATGGTAGAAGCACTGATTTTCCAGCGCCAAACTTCAGTCACTGTATCCAGCTCCCAAAGAAACGTACAAGCCCGCAATTCCAGCTTCCTCTTCATTCAAATTGTCGGAAAACGTATCGAACAATAAAAAGTTTTACTAAGCATTCATCAGTCACATATGACAACACATTCCGAGTAATTTGGAGACAGATTTTTTAGATCTTGAAGCTCTACGTAGATTTTCCCCCCAGGTGGGCTTCCCGCTTTCCTCCATTCACCAGGCTAACCAAATCCTCAGAACTATTCAAATGCCAAACTGTAGCAGAACATCAATAACTAAGAAAAGTACGCACCCGCACTGGCGACCTCCGTTAATTTCTCCAAAGTGCTCTCTTTGAATTCCTGTGCGCGCGGCAAGACGCCCGAGCGCAGCTCCTCGGAACCAGGATCCATTGCGTTTTTCTGCAAATAATCATCCCAATGAAGCAACATGGATGAGAACAAAGCAGAACCAATATTCAGGCAGCGAAGTTCGCGAGAAAAGAGGGGAGGGGAGAAAGGTGTAGCGGCGGGAGAACGAACAGAGGGAAATTCCAGTATCAAAAAAATATTTTCAAAGGAAACAGCAATTTTTATTTTTTTTTACTGGCATTTCGTTTTTTTTATTTGTTTTTCGGTTGAAGTTTTTGATATACTACCACTACTTCACACTGAAATATTCAGCAGAGTAACCAACTCATTCTATAACAATTCTGTGATCGATAACAATGTTCCGGATGGGCTGTATTAATTTTGTGAAACAACACTTGTTAAAACAAAGAACGAGGAAAAACTATTTCCATCTGCTTCCCTACCCCCTGTCCCCCACTTCCGCTTGCCACGCCTTTTGCCACTTCCGCAAACAGATCGTAAAATTGAAAGTAAGGTAGGAAAACAGGGCGCAGCTGAGCGTGGGACTTCTTGCGGTTCGGAGTCAATTTGGTTAGGTGGCCTTCACTGGTAAAATGTAACCGGAAGGGGAGGAAGTACAGGCAAAAGGAGGAAGGCTGTAACGCAAAACTGACACAGAAGACGATAGATTTAGTGACATGTCAGAAATTAAAGAAAGAAAAAACACACACTCAAAAATACACATACATTCAAAAATATACATACATACGCACAATAAGATACGTGAATTCTCCTAATTCACAATTGGTGAGATTAGAAGAGTTCACTTAACCTGACAGTTCCATCACATAGAGATCTAAATTCGTGGAAGAATAAAAAAAATTTCGGAAAATGAACAAAATAACATTGGTCAAAACATTACAGCCTGGGGAGGACCATATATTAAACGCCAACTGCTCCGGCAGAAAACAGAAATGTACTTGAAATGGTTGCTGCAAATGGCCAAAAACTACTATAATCACTGCATTGATTACACTATGGTCAGAGAGGAGCAGTAGAAAATTACAGGGAATTGTCATGCATTGCACCAACCCACTTCGCGTGAAAACAACATGGATTATAGCATCACTCTACCAACGGTTCAAAAAAGAAGTATTATTTTACGTTGAAAGAAAAAAGAAATAGCAATGTCCAGTGACTACAAGCGTTCTTGTGCAGATTTATTCATGGGAACAAATTTGTCTGGATGCTTCAAACGCAATTTCACAGCATGTACGCAGATTCAGCTTTCGTTTGTAGGAGATCATCATCAATCAATTAGAAGAGCGGTGTCAGGACTTCCAGGAGCAAAGAGTGAGTCATCAAAATGGAGTTTTTCAAAGGCTGGTATTAAAACTCCGAGATATTGATGGGCTTAAATCTGAATCACCACAGTTCAGTTTTCCAGCCTGAATGCTCGGAGAACTGGAAATGCATAACACTTATACACGTTTTCCAGAATAAACTTTGCATTCATTTTTTCTCATTTCGCACTCTCCTAAATGAACAAACTCAAAAAAAAAAAGAAATTAACTTTTAGAACGCAGTAATACATGAACTTATTGTGCCAGGGTGGTTATTTTCTTCACAAAACTGTTATATTATTTGTGCAATAAATGCGCTTGCAAACTCTTCAGGAGTAAATATTCCATCAAAAATTATATCATAGGACTGCTTGTCACTGCTTATAACTGGTCAATCCCGGCGCTTCTCACCCGGTAATCACCAGCTCGGTCTTCGAAACTGGGTACTAGGTAGTCAAAGAAAGCAGCGTCATTGCATTTGGTGGTTCGATGAATTTTCAAGATGGCTCCCCTTCATATGGTGGTTATTGTGTATGCACTAAGGCAGTTAAACAATACCATCTCACACCGAACCCCGACAGCAAAGTGAGTAACACCTCCTCATTGGTGCTGATCAGTGAGGCACCGAGGAATCGCCCACAAATCACGCAACCGGGAGACAACAGGCCCGCTGATAATTTGGTATTGCGAAAGACGATGCAACAGAACTGAAAAGAATGCAAACAAAATGAATGAGGGCAACCGCAATAATATGGTGGAAAAAAGAGTGGGCCTTGATCGCCGCCGCTCCAGACGCACAGTATCCACCGCCGCCTACTGAGGAGAGAGCAAGAGCAGGAGGACGGGCAGCAGGAGCAGAAGACATGTCCTGTCTCGGAATGTGGCGGATGCTGTGCCGCAGCAAACTGACGGATGGAGTTGGCGAGGAGCAGAAAAAACTGGAAGGACAACGGCCGGGGAACAATCGACCGGCAGCCGCTGCGACAGCGCCAGAAGCACGCCCGCAGCGTTCCAGAGAACCAACCTTTTAACAAAATGAATTTCCAAAAAATTGCTAGTGTGGCGACTGGAGAAGGAGGACTGCGGCGACTGCCTCGGGATCGATGGAAAGCGGGCGGTGGGCCCGTCGAGATGCCGCTCCCGGCTGGATGCGCGCGCGCAAGCAACATGGACCTCGTCCGGGCCAGCCCTTCACTCCAGCGTATCAATAACCACTTGCACATCTGTGAGTGGTGTTGCTGGATCAGCTGACTGAGTTATTTGTGTTGGCCCGTTAGTGGGCATCGGATCCGTGCGGTTGCCGCCTGTACAAACAATATGTCTAGCAGCAGCTGAGACTTATAAATGCCCGCGGCATGAACGCAGCGTTAGTCGTTCCAACATAAGTTCACTCGCTTCTCTCGCAGCATTCATGCCGCGGACACTCTCTTCTGCAGGGCGTCCCGATGATATTTTGATGTGTGTGACGGATCACTGGCAATGCACCAGCACGTATTATCATGAGTGCCTGGGACGCTGTAAGCAGCAGTAGCAACTGGGCAGCGCAAGAACATTCCATGATGCACCCCAAGAGTGAGACTGGTCAAGTCCCTTCACATTTTCGGCACGCATCCAGCACTACTTTCAAAAATCTTGAGTCGCAGGCCCAGTGAGGCGCCCCCGAAAAACAATTCCATTTTCCCAGGATCGAGTGAAGCGACAAGTCAAGAGCACTCTACAGTATATTATGCGAAGCGCAGACCACTATCTTAATGAAAATGTATGAAATTCGGGGGGTAGCTGCTCTCGGCACATCTCTATTCGGATGTGCACGCCACTCGATCAGTCCGAACGACCCCATAATCCTCATAAAACATTCCTGCGTGTTTGTTATCACAACGGGTTACTAAGAATGAAAGAAGCGGCCATCGCGATAAATTAGTGACCGACTGGAAAGCAGAAAAGCATTACTGGCTGCAAGCGTCGTCATGGCTGCTTAATGGACGCTTACTGAATATCAGAATGGCTGCCGAGGCCGGTGGGAGGAGCCCTGAGAAGGCAGTTCGTGACTAATAAACTGCTCTAATCCCATTAGCTGGAACTGACTTTTCCTCGATTGATAAGAATTAATTAAAGTGACGCGTCTGGTTTTATTTGATGCGTCTTTGCATATTCATGCAAGTGCAAATACGCATATCGACAAGAGGCTGTCGGTGTGTGTGTGTGTGCTCAGATTTTTTTCACTCACGTTCAATCCAGCAACCGCAGAAGCTAGTACACTGAAATTTCATAAAGATGTCCCTAGCTCGCATGCGATTCTGGTATTTTAAAAATCAACACTTAAGTACGCCTGAGACACAGACAGAGTGACTAAAAGAAAGTCTTGGTGGGAAAACCACCTCGGGGATCAGACAAGATAGCAATCTGAAACCACAGTTAGACATGCCCTGCCCGTGGGTGAACATTTCAAATTCAGCGATCACGCAAGCCTATGTCACGCGTGCGGACATGTTAAAGTTGAAGCCTACACGATTGGCAAAATGCAATTTTGAGAATTAGATTGAGTTAACAGCCCTGATTTCGCGAGAATACTTATTGTCCAAAAGAGGGAGTACAGACATAAAATGAACATTCGGGTACGCCTACGAGGCGCATTCTGATATGTTAAATATATCTGCAATGAAAAGCAGTTTTGCTCACCAGTTAAGTTAGGCAGCTGAAATTTTATGAAGATATTCTGTGATCATGTGTTGTCCGAATATTTCAAATCCATCTTTAAAGCGCACCTAGGTTTTGCGTGCATACAAGTGAAACTTTAGTTTGAGACATTGTCGATATCCAATTAACTAGGTAACCAGACTGAGCACGAAGCAATATTTTCCTGAGGATGTTTGCTGTTCATGTGCGAACTAGCCAGCAAACCCAGGCTGGAACGCACCAGGCGGGCCGGTGCGATTATGCGTTTTTGCACTTCTCGTGC